AGCCAGTCATCCATTCCACCTCCAACAATTCTAAGCTCCTGCGTATTTTCATTTCTTTTCGCAGCTTAGCATGAATTGATTCAGAATGGTCAGTTAAGTTCATGCAGCACATACTTTCGAAATCCCCACAACCATCCTGTAACAATATCTTTGTTACATCCCGGGCTTGTGCGCTTCTAGTTGGAAAGGCTTCTGGCCGACCTGAAAAGGTGTCTGTTAGTACCAACAAATGTCTATTATATCCCCTTTTTCTGTCCTTTTGAAAATTCTCCTGCAAAATTTTATTTTAACTGCCATTACCATCTAGGGTCTTCTTGAAATAGTTCCCTGTTTCTACTGGATATTTAAATTTAATTTCTTTTTTTCCAATCTTCATAGTTTATCATAGATCATTTACAATTTCAGGAAGAAAATTTTGTTATACCACAAGTAATCAATATTAAAACAATTAATATTAATCAGGTATAAGTATTGGTCCCAAGCTGCTATGTCAGTTATCACATAAATCCAAATTACGACTGATACAATTTCATATGTGAAGGGCCTGAAGGTTCGATCCGCCATGTCTTCTCTGGTTCTGGTGCTTTCTTCGTTTTTGAAGAAAGGTTGTTCCATTATCTGGTACAGTCTGCTCCACTTCTCCTGTAGAGGATCTCCTGAAAAATTCTTAACATAAACCCAGTCTCTGGATCTAAAAGGGTGAGTCAGATAATCCATGCCTCTCGTTCTTGTCCCCAGTATTCTCTTATTTGCTCTAATTACTTGCCCAGATTGATCAGAAACTCTAGGAGATAGCCTTCTCCCACTTCCAGAAGACTTTCTCCTTTAAACCGGGACTGATACGGTCTTCCATATAAAATTTTACGTGGGATAGCCTCTTCTTTCGACCGAGGTTTAGTTCAAATTCTTCATAGAGCCAGTCTAAAGCTCGGTATCAATATCTTGACATATTTTACTAATCTGTTGTTTGATCACCTTTTCTACTTGCCCACTGGCCTGAGGCCTGTACGGAACATGTAGTTGCCAATCCAGCTCTAATTTTTGCTAATTTCTTGTAACTATTTTGCACTAAAGGGCGAGCCTCGGTCGGAAGAAATTGCCTTTGGTACTTCCAAAACAAGGTATTATACTGTTTAACAATGTTCCAATTACTTGTCTTGCATTATTTATTCTACAAGGGACAGAAAGTGGGTCCTACACAATGTCAGGGTGAAATCAGTCTGCTGAAAGCCCACACAGGGTCTTGTGGGTTTGTGATGGCTCTGAAACCATTTCATTACCTCACAGAAGAAGAGTCAGCGCTGAACCACTGCGTGTGGAGGAATCTGAAAGGTCATCAGATTCACAATTTAAACACCAGATTGGAGTCCGTTGGGTTACAAGAAGCTTTCCAAGGACAGGAAGCTGCACTCAATAAATGTACCAGTACTCTGACACATGGCATTTAAGGGGTTAGAGATATTTGGGCACTGGCTCTGCTGTCAGCAGAGGTGACACTGCAAAACTGTGCCCCAAAGGGATGTGCCAAGTGGGGAGTGCATCAGCCAGTGCCTCCGTTGCTGGACTTGAGTGAGCATTCTTCATTATCAAGAGGCAATCAGTGAGCACCCACTGGAGAGGCTGAGCTCTGTGGTGTGCTTTGCCTGGAGGTTGTTCCCACTGGGAGCAGAGAGGAGTTTCCACGCTGGGGGAGAAGGATGCTTACAAACCCCACCAGATGCGGATACTGAGCTCACACCCACCAGCCCAAAGTCCTTCCAGAGTCCCTGAACTGGAGAGAACCAGGTTTAGCTCTAGTTGTTAACAAAAGCCTATAAATCAAAGCCTCTGAGCTCCAAAGAAGCAAACTAAACCCCATGTTGTACATCTCCAGCATTGTCCTTCTCCCACCATGCTCAGATCCTCCTGACTCCAAACTTGGGCACCTGCCTTGCATCACCCTGGCAGGAATCCCTGCTCCTACATCACACCCCAACGCTCTTTTGGGGTGCGGGGATAATCCGAGATCCCAACAGAAGCAGCTGGAAGCTCTGGAGAGCCAGGATCCAGGGACTGGGCTGCATTCTGGTTACCTTCCAGGCCACTCCCATGGCTGTGCCTGCAGACAGAGGGACACCAGAGGCATAAACCAAAGCTTATGCAGGAAGTAATGGGGATGTACCTTTCAACGAGGACATTCCCGTTGTTGGTCTGCACGGCCATCCACATATCCCAGTACTCTGCCTGTGAAGGCTGCGTGTAGGGCCCAAAGACTGCCCCGAGCCTGGACAAGAGGGAGTTCAGAGCAGCAAAGCAGTAGATCTGTTAGTGTATGGATCAAGAACTAGCCCTGAAAACCTGAATACATCCACTGGGGAAAACGGGGAAGTACAGCAATGCAAATGGACCCCCGAATGCACCTAGAGTTGGATTTTGCAGGCCTTTTTTTTTGGGGGGGTGTCCTGGTTTCAGCAGTAGCAGTCATTTTTCTCCTTCTTGGTAGCTGGTGCAGTGCAGTGTTTTGACTTTCAGCTCGGGAACAGAGCTGATAACAAGGATGCTTTGGTTTGGCCAAGGACTTTGTGAGCCTCATGCTCTGCCAGGGAGGAGGGGAAGCCAGGAGGAAGCAGAGACAGGACACCTGACCCAAACTGACCAAAGAGGTATTCCATACCACAGCATGTGCCTAGGATGTAACTGGGAGTTAGCCGGAAGGGCAGGGAGACTGCAGGGTTGGAGGAGGTATCGGTCAGAGCTTGGTCGGGCTGGGGGGGCGAGTTATCGGTCGGCTGGTGGTGAGATGATGTATTCTCTTCCCTTGTTATTTCCTTTATCATTATTATCATTGGTGGTAGCAGTAGTGATCTGTGTTATACCTTAGTTACTAAACTGTTCTTATCTCAACCCGTGGGAGTTGCATTCTTTTCGATTCTCCTCTCCGTCCCTCTGAGAGCAGGGGGAGGGCAAGAAAAGGGGGGGGGAAGTGAGCGAACAAATTACCTGACTGGGTTTAAACCACGACAGTCCTTTTTGGCGCCCAACGTGGGGCACGAAGGGTTGAGATAACGACAGATCTGACCAGATTAATAGTCACTCATCACAATGACGATTTATTGGCTCTCAGAGTTGTTTCTCTTGATCTCACAGCTTCAGAATGTTGTAACTTACGTAGAGCCGGTATTTGCTGTGATAGTGTTTATCAAGTGTGGGGCCTGGGCTAAGGTTCTTGTCTCACTGTGCTTTATGGCAATGGCTTGTAATACGGGCGGGCTCCAGCAGCAGGGCGGGACGGACGTGGCCGTGGACTTGTACCTGGCCGTCCGGCTGCTCTTCACCGTCCTGGCCCTCACCCTACTCTCCATGTTCGTGAGGCTGCGGGGAGCCGAGGGGGAGCGGCCCCGGGAGCCGGCGGCAGCCGAACCGGCCCGGGAGAGCGGCCCCGGGGAGCAAGCGGCGGCGGGAGCGGGGCCGGAGGCCGCGAGGGGACGGCTGCCGGTGGAGGAGGATGGGGCGGTCGAGAAGAGGAAGGAAGGGGCTGCCGAGCAGCGCGAGAAGGCGGCGGAGGAGCCGAGCCCCGCACAGGCGCCGAGCCCCGCGGAGGAGCCGAGCCCCGCTGAGGAGCCGAGCCCCGCGGCCGAGCCCAGCCCCGCGACGGCCGAGAGCGTTTCCCGGAAGCCGCCCGCCGAGCCCCAGGAGGATGCAGGAGACCACGCAGCATTTCCCAGCAAGGCAGAGGAGGAAGAGCTGGACTCAGGAAAAGAGAAGCTGGCGGTGGGAGAGCCGCAGCTGCACCAGCCCCAGTGACAGCAGCAGCTACACCAGCCCCAGTGACAAGTACAGCAGCATCGTTTGAGAGTTCTGAAGGTTTTGAATGGCCTTTGGGTATCCTTGGGACCTGCCTGCTGATTGTATGGGGATCAGCATGTTGGCACACACACACAGTGTTTTACCCAGAACCATTTTGTCTGATCTCAAAAGTTAAGCAGAGTCAGGTTTGGGTCTTGTCTGGGGTTAAACAAGGATAGAAGGGGACCAAAAGGTTTTCTCCAAGGCTGGACAGTCATGAGTGGCAGGGTGTGTGGGACAGTATGGGCAAGTATCTAGTCCACTGGGCCCCTCCAGTGCTTTGGAAGCATCGGAGATGGAAGGCAGCTGTATGGAGTCCCCAGCAACAAGCTGCAGAAACTGCTTAAGGGGACAGTGAATTATTTTGAGCCTGGTGGGCCCATGGCACTTCAGGCCATCAGAGCAGAGATGCAACATAGAGATGGACTCATGATCAAGGGGTGGACTTAGCAATGGACACTATTGCCCAGGTTATTCACAAGTGTGAACACTGCACACAGTCTCTCCTGCTCTGGAAGACTGTTACAAGAGATGGAGCCTGGCATCATGGACCAGATGGACGCAGCAGCTTTATAGCTACTGGTCCATGCACTTAGATAAGAGTGATGGTATATTGAAAATGTGGGATCTGAGCATGACGTGAATGGTATGGAATAAGGGGCGGATAATGTCCTGGTTTCAGCAGTAGCAGTCATTTTTCTCCTTCTTGGTAGCTGGTGCAGTGCAGTGTTTTGACTTTCAGCTCGGGAACAGAGCTGATAACAAGGATGTTTTGGTTTGGCCAAGGACTTTGTGAGCCTCATGCTCTGCCAGGGAGGAGGGGAAGCCAGGAGGAAGCAGAGACAGGACACCTGACCCAAACTGACCAAAGAGGTATTCCATACCACAGCACGTCATGCCCAGGATGTAACTGGGAGTTAGCCGGAAGGGCTGGGGGACTGCAGGGTTGGAGGAGGTATCGGTCAGAGCTTGGTCGGGCTGGGGGGGCGAGTTATCGGTCGGCTGGTGGTGAGATGATGTATTCTCTTCCCTTGTTATTTCCTTTATCATTATTATCATTGGTGGTAGCAGTAGTGATTTGTGTTATACCTTAGTTACTAAACTGTTCTTATCTCAACCCGTGGGAGTTGCATTCTTTTCGATTCTCCTCTCCGTCTCTCCGAGAGCAGGGGGAGGGCAAGAAAAGGGGGGGGAAGTGAGTGAACGAATTACCTGACTGGGTTTAAACCACGACAGGGGGGGAAAGGTGGTTTGAAACATCTGATAAAAATATAGAGGGATTGGGCACTGTATGTGCTGTGGTTTGGGATTTCATGGCCTCTGGAATGTGCACAAGCTCAGTACCCAGAGGACAGAGGATTTCAGCGTACTGTGAAATCTGTGTCATTTATAGGTGCCAACCTGGAGAGAGAATGGCCTGCAGGATCAAAGTCACTTAAATCCAGGGGCAAATTCCTCCTGGGACAGCACTGGGGCATCTGCTCATGGGCCAAACACCCACTACTCCAATTCCTATGTGGCCCCCTCCCCATGTTGCTCATACCCCCTGTATGGGCTCTGACCAACTCACCCTCTGGAGAAGACAAAGAAGTTCATCAGGCACGTGATGATGGGGGACAGCAGCCCCCCATCCTTGAGGATCTTGGGCACAAGGGAAAAAGGAGACAGTGCTGCTCAGTATCATGAAGATGGGCAAATCCTGCTCCCTTAGGGGGCTTTCCTCCCGGTTCCCCATAAACTGTGAGAACTGGGCTGGTTCAGCCTGGAGAAGAGAAGGCTCCTGAAGGGGAGACCTTAGAGCAGCTCCAGTGCCTAAAGGGGCTGCAGGAAAGCTGGAGAGGGGCTTTGGACAAGGGCCTGTAGGGACATACATGTCCTGGGTTCAGCAGTAGCAGTCAGTTTTTTTCTCCTTCTTATTAGCTGGTGCAGCGCTGTGTTTTGACTTTCAGCCTGGGAATAGAGCTGATAACACCGATGGTTTTAGTTGTTGCTAAGTCATGTTTACTCTGACCAAGGACTTTGTGAGCCTCATGCTCTGCCAGGGAGGAGGGGAGGCCGGGAGGAAGCAGAGACAGGACACCTGACCCAAGCTGTCCAAAGAGGTATTCCATACCACAGCACGTCATGCCCAGGGAGGTAACTGGGAGTTACCGGGAAGGGCACGGGACTCTCTTTTGGGGTCGGACTCGTTTCGGCGGGTGGTATCGTATTCTCTTCCCTTGTTATTTTCTCTTATCATTATTATCATCGGTGGTAGCAGCAGTGATTTGCGTTATACCTTAGTTACTGGACTGTTCTTATCTCAACCCCTGGGAGTTACATTCTCTCGATTCTCCACCCCATCGCCCCGGGAGAGGGGAGGGGTGGGGGGAAGGAAAGAAGGAGGGAAAGAAGGGGGGGGGGGGGGGGGCGGGAATGAGCTGCCTGACTGGTTTTAAACCACGACAGGACAGAACAAAGGGATTGGCTTTAACCTGCCAGAGGGGAGACTGAGATGAGCTCTTAGGCAGAAGCTCTTCCCTGTGAGGGTGCTGAGGCACTGGCACAGGGTGCCCAGAGAAGCTGTGGCTGCCCCATCCCTGGCAGTGAGAGCAGAAAGAGGGGACGTCTGTGGTGATGCTCAGCTATGGATGGCCACGGTCCCTTCCACTGTCACAGAAAGCACCTTCCAGCTTCAGGAAAACTGCAGGAGCTTAAAATATCCCAAATAACAGCAAGATCATCCCCAACCATAAACAGTTGTGAGTCCCTTTCTCCCACTTTGGGCTGGAGAATGGGAAAGGATGATGCAAATAGAGCTTGGCTCCTGTGTAAGGTATTGGAGAGGAACAAGGCTGATATCCTGGAGCACGGTGGTACCTCCTCTGCAGCATCACCCACCCCAGGCTGTCTCCTCATCCCCATGGAGGGAGAAGCCATGGGGGTTGCTGTCAGCATTCAACCCACATGCCCTCGCTGCCCTCACCTTGTACCAGTTGTAGCTGGAGGTCAGGAATCCATGCAGGAGCACAATGATGTCAGAGCTGGGAAGGGAATGGGGCACCTCAGCATCAGCTTCCCCCGATTTCCTCCTCTAGGAGACACACTTTGCTGTTTGATTCACTAGAACCCGAACCAGCATCATGATGTTGTCTTTCCCACTGCTCCTTTAAAAACCAAGGTGGGTTTGACTTGCACCACAGCTTCGGAAACCCAACCAGATGAGGAACCATGGCCACTGGTACCAACTGCTTGATGCAAACAGGGATTTACTTAGCACAAATCAACTGCAGCTGCCTCTAAGATGCTACAACCAGTCACAACTGCTCCAGCAAAAAGGCCTTTCCTTGCTGTGACCATCAGAGGCTCTTGGGATCCTTCCCACTGGGAACAGAGCTTGTGCAGGGCCTGGAGCACAAGTGTGATGGGGAATGGCTGAGGGACCTGGGGGGTTCAGTCTGGAGAAGAAAAGGCTCAGGGGGGACCTTATTGCTCCCTACAACTGCCTGAGAGGAGGATGGAACCAGGAGGGGCTGGGCTCTGCTCCCAAGGAACAAGGGATGGGACAAGAGGAAACGGCCTCAAGCTGCACCAGGGCAGGTTTAGATGGAGCTGAGGAACAATTCCTTCCCCAAAGGGTGCTCAGGCATTGGAACAGGCTTCATGATCTTGAAACTCTTTTCCAACCTGGTTGATTCCACGATCACCCCATTATGTGCTCTGATAATGAAGACCCACAGCACAGCTGGATCCACACAGCAGCTCCCCTTAAAGCCATTGTGGTCTGGGAGGCATTTGCCATCACTTTGCCTTGGGGACACCCCTGGGTGCACCGAGGGTACCAGAACCACCACCCCTCTCCCCACCATGATGGACGATGTGTCCCTGGTATTGGTGCAGCCCCATCACCTCTATAGAAGATGTTCTGGTCCCGGTATGTGAAGTACCCTCCAGAGGACCTCCAGGAGAGGAGAGCTGGGGATAGCCCGGGGGGGGATGTGAAGGTACACGGTGAGGAGGGGCATAGTCAGCAGCCCCACCTGCACCCACCACTCCTTCATCCCGTGGGAATGAGGCACCACTCCATAGGGATCTGTCCCATTAACTCTCGTATCCCCATAACCCAATCCAAAACCCCCAAGAGACAGGTCCATGACATCAAAGGGTCTCAAGGTTAAGGTATGAGGGGTGGTGTGGGCCCCAGTTGGGGTCTAATGGATGGATGTGGTCCCCATTTGGGGTCTGAGGGGGAATGGAACTGCATAGGGAGTCTGAGGGGAAATGGAGCTGCATAGGGGGCCTGAGGGGGGACATGGGTCCCCCAATGCATGTCTAAAAGGGGATAGGCACCCCATTGAGGGGCTGAGGGGGACACGGACCCCGTTGGGTTCATTGGGAGGGCTGAGGCTCTGTGGCCCCATTGAGGGTCTGAGGGGAACGTGGACCCTATTACAGGTGACACGTGCCCCATTGATGGTCTAAGGGGACACGAACCCCATTGGGGCGCTGGGACTGTGAGGCCCCCTTGAGGGTCTAAGGCTCAAAGCCCCGCCCCCCCCCCCCCGAGGTGTCACGTGCTCATCTCAGACCACGCCTCCTCCCTCCCTGCCGTGCTCCCCCTCCTCGGAGGGGTGTCAGGTCCCGCCCACCGCAGAGGCTCCGCCCACCGAGGAGGCCCCGCCCGCCTGTGGGCGTGGCCTCGATGCGGTGAGGGGAGCCCCGTGCGCGCGCCGCCATGGCTCTCCGGGGGCAGGGCCAACGGCCCGCACCGCGCATGCGCCGCTCCTCGGCCGCGGGGGGAATCAAATCGGGCGTAGTTGAAGGGTTGGACGTCAGAACCTGGAGGGCGGTTGGGTAAGCGGGTAGCGGCGGGACGATGTCGAGCAGGAGGAGCGTTGGGGATCCTGAGGTGGGTGCCGGGGTCCTCTCTTCAGCCTCGCTTTCCCTTCACCCGTACCCTTGCAGCGGGGACTGTGGTGGATTGCTGGAGGCCGGGCCCCTGTCCTGGGGGGATGTGGGATGTGAGGGGTAACGGGACGGTTGGCGGGGGGGTGTCGGCAGCTTGCAGAGGTGTGAGTGGGGATGGGGGGTTTATGGGGTTAGAGCCGGGTGAGCTGTGGTGGAGAGAGGAAGGGAAATGGGCTAGTGGAAGTTGTCCCTACCCAAGGCAGGGGCTGGAGCTGGGTGAGCTTTAAGGTCTCTTCCAACCTAAACCGTGGAAGTTGTCCTTACCCAAGGCAGGGGTTGGAGCTGGGTGAGCTTTAAGGTCTCTTCCAACCTAAACCGGTCCATGATTCTGATTCCGAGAGCAGGGGATGTCTGAGAGGTTGCTTGTGGTCTTGCTCCTCTTTTTACTGTCTCTTAGACCTTTTCAGATTGCTTTTCCTGTTAATGGGAGAGGTTTTTTGTCTTTAAAACAAATAATAGCTGTATATTGACTTCCTTGTGTATTTTCTTTTGTAAACCAGTATTTAACCAGGCGCATCCCTCAGAATCCCAAATACCAACATATAAAAACCCGCCTCGATACTGGTAAGTGAAGCTGATGCTAGTGAGTGACGTTGTAGTGTAACAACACCAAATGTGGATGTAGGAGCATAGAAAAATGAGTGTTTTCTGACGCTGTCCTGAACTACTTTACCCCACATACCAGCTATATCAGAACTCGCATCCTGATTATGATGTGTTACAGCTTAGAAACTTGGGCTCTGCAGTGACAGTTCCCATGGAAATTGCTGGCCTTGGAGTTTATTATTCTTGTATTAGTTAATATCTTGACAATGGTGTAAGTCAAGATGGTTGTTTGGGGGGTGTCTTCAGGGATTGGCCAGGTTGGACGGGGCTTGGAGCAACCTGCTCCGGTGGAAGGTGTCCCTGCCAATGGCAGGGGGGTGGAACTGGAGGAGCTTTAAGGTCCCTCTCAACCCAAACCATTCCATGATACTTCTGCCCCCCCCTTGCTGGAAATCCTATAAAATGCACTCAGGTACATCTGTAGAACTGAAGCAGCACTGTAGGTATGTGTAGAAGATTTGAGCTCCTCCTGGTGTGGAGCATCTCTAGTGACTTTCACCTGGGCTTTAACCTAAGGGTCGCCTCCTGTTCCCCGGGGTTCAGCAGGTCCTTTGACTTTGCTGTTTAGTTTGGCTTTTCTTTGTGAGAGAAAATTTCTAGGAGGAAAATTATGCTCTTATTTATGGCTGCCTTGTGTTCTCATGGTGAAAGAGGATCTGCAGCAACGTCTGTTGTCATAGGCTTATCTTCTTATTTAAAAAATCCAAATTTAAGACTTAAAAGCCCTGAAGAAAAGCACTAATAAAATAAATCAAACTGATCCATCCCCCCCCCCCTTTTCCCCCCATTTTCCCACCCGTCCTTCTTTTTCCCTTATTTTTTTCCCTCTTGTTCTTTTCCTCTGTATTCCCCCCCTCCCTTTTCATATTTTTCTCTTTATTTTTCCCTGTTTCCCTCTTTTTACAGGGCACAGTTTGACAAAATACACTGAGAAGTTGGCAAAAGTCAAAAGAAGTGAGTATCTGAGAGGAGCAGAATGTAACTGGTGGGTTAGTTCCAAACAGGAAGAGCATCAAGGAGCAGGGATTGAATCCTGGGCCCTCTATTTGCTTGGAAATCTCTGCTCCGTTGATTCTCACAGCCATTTACAGGAAGGAATAGCAGAAACATGCAGCAGTAGGATACAAAGATGCTTCTACCTTGATTTTTGGATGCTTTCTGCTTTGTCTTGTGCCTTATTTCTCTGTCTCTCTTACTGCTTGACAGATATAACTTAAGAAACCAGGCAGGCAGTTCTAGGAGTCTTTCCAGATCCTTCTTAGTGCAGCTTCTTGCTATTGAATGGAAACCAGATAGGAAGAAGTTCTCTGGACTGAGAAAACTAGACTAGATCCATCTGGAAGACTCAGACTGTGCTCCTGAGGCTTTATTTTGCTTTTGGGTAACAAATTGAGATCTCTTACCTCTGTTGTTTTAACATGCTTGGATTTCTGTCAGAATACTCTAAGGTTCTTCTCATTTCTGTGTAACTCGTTGATTTTACCAGAGCCAAAGACTGATGCTTGGAAGCCTCTGGCTTGTTTAGGCTGATGAAAACCTGACTGACTCTTATTTCACTCTCTTTTTCCACTGAAAACAGGCCTTTAAGAAAAACTGTTACTAAAAAGCAAAATTTTACTACTATTGTCCAGATTATTCTCTCACAGAGAGCCAAGAAAGCTCTTAAACCTAGAAAGCTGCATTTCTTTCTGTGGAAAACAAAACCCATTCCCGTTAAGGAGGATTAATTTGATTTGGAACATTCAGGTTTAATTCTTGGACCCATTTATTCTGTCCCTCTGAGCTGGTGCTGTTCGCATTAGAAGGCAGGTCACTAATCTGTCACGTGAATATATCAGAGCTCAGCTTTTTGCAGAATGGTCCTTTGTTGCTGGCTTGTTTGTTGTTTTGCTGTAAGCACCACAGGTCTGTGGGGAGAATCAAAGGAGAAATGACTTTTCTATCCAAAATCCTGTGTTGCCTGGCTAAGATTTCAATGCTTGACACTGGCTTGCCATCACTTGTTCTCTGTGCTTCAGATCTTGTTGTATGGCTCTAGTTGGTTTTCAGTCTCTGCTCTGGGTCTGATTTGGTTTCATGTAGGGCTTCTTTTGTTGAACCACAGCTCTGGAACCCAACAGAAACTTTCCCATTCTCTTTGGGCTGAATAGACACCTTCTGTTCCCAGGCAATTTGGAAACTTCTTCCCCTTGGTTTCTCACGAATAGATGACACCACTTGGACACAACTTTAAATACCCACTACAGGCAACTCTCTGTCTCTTGTGTAATGTGAGAGAGAGGGATTTAAACCTGTGGAATTAAAATGAAGAGAGCTGGAACCACGATGATTTGTTCCTTTTGGAGGATTGACTTGAGGAGAAGCACCAAGTCTTTTCCCTTCCTCTGGTATCTCCACTCCTTTCCGAAGCCCTGAGGAGCACATCCTTGATTCCACAATAATTCCAGCCCCAAAGCAGTTCACTGAAGGGAAGAATGTCAGAAAATTCCAGTGGATCTTCCAGGACAGAACTGGGTACGTTGTGTTGCTTCTACAGGCAGGAGCAGCACTTCCTGCGACCTTCCTGATCACTGCTGGGATGTTCATGCAAAGCAGTCAAATTAGTTTGTTGTAATAACACCAGCTTTGGGCTGGTTTTCCTGTTGATAGGAATAATTTTGGGTGGTAAAGGTAAGATCTAGGTCATAAAGAGATAAATAATCCTCACTTGAGGTGGGCAGAAAGCATCCAGCAGCTGTTTTGTGTGAGCACTGTGGTAGTTTGGTCAGTGTTCATAGGCATCCAGCTCTTCATAAACTTTCTGCTTTTCTTTATCCTTGTAAGTTAAGTTGATTTCTTGCTCTTCACATGACTGAAGGGCTCTTTTTGCCCATGGCTGGGGTGGTTTAACCATATGGACATGGGCTACATGTGGGTTTTGTGTCCGGCAGAGGAAATGGGCTGAATTATTGCTGGTATTTTCCTGTTAAAATGAGACTTTAGCAACCTGAACCTGAGGCTTGAAGCCAAGTTCATTTTGGAGTGCATGGATGTTCTGAAATCTAGTTTATGCGTAGGTCTTGTACTTGATTCAGCCCCATAATTTGAAATGTATAGTGCACCCTGCAGTGCACAGGGATGTTTTGGATGGGCTTCTTTTCCTTAGGTAAGCTGCTGAGTAGCAAGTAGGCACTTGCTTTGCTGCCTGATAAACATTGTATAGCATAAAATGTTGAATTTAGGAGCTCTGCTTGGTCTGAACACTGAAAAGCACTTGGTCTGCCTCTTCAGGAAGCACATTTAAGAAGGAAGGGATAAGAATAAGACCAAACCAGAGATTAAAACTCGCAATTTCTCTTTTTTTGTCTCTGTTTTGCTCTTATAAGGTTCCTTAGGTTGTGTATGGGGGGAATCTTGTCCAAGCATTGTCACCACTTGTATTGAGAAGAGATCTCAGCCTCCAGCATTCATGTGGCTCCTTCTCTAAACACATGTCAGCTTGAGCATTTCCCTAAGCTAATCTGGCAGTAATTTTTGGTGTAGTGGATTCAGGAGTATGGATTTGAGACCTTCCTCCCCCTTTCTCCACCTTGCTTAAGCTAATGG